AAGAGTGTAAAAGAGTTTCCATAAATTTTGCCCACCAACCTTCATTTTACATAATTAGTATCCCTGCACCCATCTGACTCATGAGAAAACACATTGACAGTTTCAGCTTTAGACTAATATTACCACGATGCTCAAGTCCCATACTTCATACACAGCAGTCCACTAGTGCCAACCCTAAATAAAAACAGCAGCATTAGAAGATGGAAGTATTGCAGGCTAGAGATTAGAAGCAGTGAATAGATGAAAGAAGTTGAACAAACTATCAAAAAAAAAAACAAAATCTTAAACTGTACAACATCCACTGCATTTGTTCACATGCAGCTCAGAACTGTTACTCACTAAATTTTGGACAAGATCCACTGTAGTCAGAGCATGCTCTGCTTCTTCAACTAATACATAATCTGTAACCATAATGTATATACAGTAACTGCATCATACTGTAAAATCATAGTCTTTTGTCATCAATGACCTAAAAAAATTCATTAACATTGAAAATTACATTCACAAAATTGATTCATTAACATTGAAAATTACATTCACAACATACTAGTACTGAACAGAGCCTTCATAGATGGTAAACCAAACTGGACAGCCAAGTCCAGCACCACAGTATATGCTCCTATGAGTCCAAGTGGTTCTGCAGCATGATTAGAGTAGCAGTGGGCCAACTGCTGAGGCATTCTGAAAATTATAGGCTTCAGCAATTCTTTCAACCTTTCAGACCCTCTGACAGCCTGCTAAACAGAACGAATTGCCTCCTGGCCAACATGTAGCTCAATCAGGGCCTGGATGTCTGGGAGCATTAACTGCTGCAAAAAAGTGCCTGCCTTGCTACAATAGTATTCAACAGTTTAAAACAAAATCCTGCAATGTTCCTCCTAAACCTCGTTTTCTCTCATATGCCATGTCTCTAGTCAGTTAATAGAAACACTGGTCACTTGAATTTATATAAAATGTAAAGAAGATTCTATAATAACATGAGAAATGTGGAATCAAAGAGGGTTTCATGCCTGTCAGTCTGTACTATAACAGAAATGCATAGCCTGCTATGACACCAGTATGTCGTCTCATTGACTTTCATTAGAAATACAAATTCTGACTTGCACTTAAATGGCAATGCAATTCAGGCATGTAGCACTTATCACGGAACTGAGAAACAAACTACTGTAATTGTATAATAACCACAAAATGTACTGTGTTTATACAAAGATGAAATGTTTACAATTGCCATGACATTTAGGTGGCATCTTTGTGTATTGCATGATGAAATGATGATTTAGAATGTTAGGTCTCCCCTTGAGCAGGATGATTATTTACATATTAGATTAAATTCATTAGCATTATCCAGAGTCACCTGGTTTTCACATTTATTAACCCTGCATAAAATATAGCGCATTATTTCACACAAGATGCACACTGCATAGTAGAATAATGTATGCACTGTATGTACATTAGCAAATGCTCCATGAGGAAAGAAATTTATAAAGCGTAGTTGCAAATCATGTTAATACAGCTGCTATACAGCAATGATGTGGGGCTATCAACTCTACACAGTAGCCACAAAATGATCCTGAGTATCAGCTGCAGAAGCAACAGGTAAAGCGATTTTTTTAACACCTCTGACTGTGTGTGTAGGTTGTGAGCAGACTGCAGAAAATTACATAACAGTAGCACAAATCTCTGAAAAGGGCATTTCTGCTATTCCTCTCCGTTTCAACATCCTCTTTTTAACTTCACAGAAGAGATCTTTATCAAGGATTCCACAGCAGCAGCAGCAGCATTGGATGTGTAACCACTAATCATTACAGAATGTACACACCACATTGCCATCAATGTGGTTGAACAGGACTGTTAGCCAAATTGATTCAGTCATCACCTTGTGCTTAACTGGCACAGGGTATTCCAGCTGGAATTACAAGCAACTTTAAAACGCAAGTAAAACCGCTTCACAACTTAATCGCTACATTTACTGAATTTCAGCCTATGGGTAAATCAAATGGACAAGAGCACATGTCCACTTTAACATGTTTTTCCAACCACACAGTTGTGCAGTTCTTCAAGAGGCAGCATTTTCTGACTCTTAACAGTAGAGGGCAACCATGGACAATTTAATAGCTGCCTTCAAGCATCAATCCTTACCAGCATTGACTATGGCATCCACCTCCAAGACCGTAATATCGCCTTTGTACAGAGATACTTTATCACTCAGTCCTTCACCAGTGGGCATGTGTTCCCCTTCTTCTTTGTCATTTGCTGAAATAAAATAAGACAACCTCAACTTGTTGCATTCATTCAAGAACGAGCACCAACATATAGAAGTGTCACTGAATAAGCACATGCACTGGCTGTTCTTTGAATAGACAAAGCAGGTTTATATTCTCAAATGTGACTGAAAAGAAACTTCACTTGCATATGATGATGATCATAGAGAATATAGGCAAAAACAGGATGCGTGCTCATTATCAAGTGTTCCTAAACAACCTTACATTCTACCTCTCTTCAGGACATCAGCTGTAGTCTGTGTTGGTTTAACCCTCTTGTTCAGTCAGACGAATAGCAAGGATCATCAAATACTACGTTTGTTAGAGCTCTCACATATTGTACAGTTCTGATACTTTTTAATGTATGACCTGCCTGCAGCACAGAGTACTACTATTACATGTTAAGCCAACTACATTTACGTATAATCAGTCTTTCAATTATTGCATCTCTATTAGCAACTTTAATGTTATACCAAATGGGTTTATTTTTAAAGCCAGAGATGCATGCACATAGCTTTGGAAAGTTTTCAGTCCCCTTCACTTTTTGCATACTTTGTAGTGTTGTCGATTAAATTTTAAATGGATAAAACTGATCTTTGCTGATTTTCTTCTAATAATCACAAAATGACAGCATGTTTGAAAATTTTTCCAATTTATTTAGAATAAACTGAAATCTGTTATTTACAAAAAGATAATAAGACCCTTAATTTAGTACTTTGTAGAGGCCCATTTGGCAGCAATTGCAGCTCTGAGTCTTCTTCGGTAAATCTCTACAAGCTTTGTACACCTGGATTTGGGCAATCCATCTTATTTTCCTGTTAGGTTCTCTCAAGGTCCATCACATTAGATGGGAAGCAGCTATAAAGTGCCACCTCCGGGTCTCTACAGATGTTCTATGGGGTTTAAACCTGGGCTTTGCCTGAGCCACTCAAGCCCAGTCAGACTTGTCCAGAAACCACTCCAGCATCATCTTAGCTATGCTTCAAGTCACTGTCAGGCTGAAAGGTGTTCCGTTATGTCTAAATGCACAACAATTGGCCGAATACTTAAGATAGATGTAAAACTAGATATCTTGAATAAATCATTTTTGGCTAGGCTGTGTAAACACTGTACGTGTCAGTTTATCAGCCATACCCAACTAAGGACACTGAGTATCTCAGACAATAAGACAATTCCTTACATCTACTTTCATCTCTCCAGGTTGGAATCTTGTTCACAAATATGTAATCCTGCCGACGATACTCCATGCGTCTCTCCTCTGAGCTTAGACGAAGCAGTCTGTCTGTGGAAGAAAGAACACTGTTACACTATCCTTAATAATAACAACAACAAGAAATAAGAAAAAGACTTGGCACTGGCACAGACAGTTAATAACAAACATAACAGTCAACCTTTTTGCGTCCTTTAACAGAATTAATGTCACCCCAAACTGTCTCCCAGTAATCATTAATGTGATCCTGCTTCATGTATTAAAATGCTCTTTTGATTTGCAGGGTCAACAATATGAGAGCACCCCTGCAGCTGGCCGGGACTCGGAGTCTTGCTCAAACACACTTCAGTAGAGTAGCTGCTTGCCATCCAAGATGTTTAAACACAAGTGCTGTGATTGAATAGTGGTCTCACCACTTATTACAACCGCATTCTCAGCCATGAGAAAGAGACCCTAAACCATGCTGATTCTTGTTGCAATCAGACCCCTCACCACCAGCTGATTTCACTCATTAGCTCCACTTCTTGGGTTGTGGGTGTGTCAGTGAAACAGGCTGTTGTGTGGATTAGCTTGGATGAAAATGTGCACATACTTGTCTCCATGGCTCTTTGCTTAGAACCACTGCACTATGTCACCATAATGCCTAAACTGCACTGCATTCTGAACAACAGCGTTACAGTCTTACGTGATTGTATCATTAATAGTTGCTGGTAAGCTGCTGCTTAACCTCTGCACTGCATTTAATTTTATAGTCGTGTCCCCCTGTTCATCTCCTCCGACTATAAAAGACCCTCAACTTGCTACCGTTTCTCCAGATAGCACTTGGATGCTCTGCAAAACAAGCTTCATCCAAATTATGCTCTTCACCGAGAAGCCTTCATCACATACATTCCTCAGTGGACCCATCATGGACCTCGCTCAGTTAAAACATCACTTCTGTAACAGTTTAAGCAAACTACATCTGATGGCACTACACAAAAGGAAATAATCTTTACAATGGAATGTTGCAACAAACTAGGCTTTAAAGATTGTAGGAACTCTGCACTATTGTTAAAGAAATTATGAGTTATGAGACTTCCTATTGAGGCAGGGGGGCACTGACAATATTTTGGTAAGAAACAGAAGGTTGGGTCATCTTTTGGCATCATCACATATTAGGCCAGGCTTAATGGTAATCCTGCTGTGGGGGATATCTGTTCCATCCCTCATGTTCCTCTCCCTCTTGTCCACTTCTGACATTTCCAAAGCTGCTTTTATACTACATGGATGAATGGAAAAAAACAACAACAACAAAAAAAACACTTGTGGTTTCAAAGCCTTCTGGACTACTCTAAAATGCTTCATCACTCTGCTGAACTTTTAATCATTAAGAGTCCCAAAGCTTAGTTTAGTTGTCATGAGAACAGAATGGGCTCGTAATGTGCTTCATTACATACAAGTGTCTACATAAAAGGATGTGTTACGGGAGCCACTGCATCACTGATGCGGTTCCATTTGATTTTGCTGCATTGGATGAGTTCTGGGTTAAGAAGACCAGTCACTCTGATGCTACAGACCCCCCTGAACCAATTTCAGATAAAAAAAAATGCAAGGAGATGCATCTCCATTTATAGTCTTTTTTTTTTTACACTATTAAAATTCCCGTTTCACATTCCTTTACTTAATTTAAGAAATGTCTCCAAAATAGTAAAATTCTGGATGTTTTATCCATTTTAAAATGAGTTTTATTTTGACAAAGAATAAGCCAAAAGGTGCCCACCATACAATTCTAATTAAAAACTCAATGATCACAATCAGTTAGTAAATGAAACTACATCTTGGCCAAATGGAGGTCTGGGCTGGAAATGCGTCTGTCTGCTTCAGCCAACCATATAATGAGTTTATCACGTACAGCACCGCTTCTTTTACCAAGTTACTAGAACAAAAGTGATACTGAACACATTTTCACAGCAGGGATTCTGACAAAGTCAGCATTCGCATCACTAATTAATGTGATTGATTCCACCTGCGCTAGCCTACCTACTATGACAAGTGGAAAGGTTTACCCTGAAAAAGCTCTACTGCGTCCTTTCAATGAATAAACATTGACTAACATAACAAATGCGGTCTTTGGTTTTCCTTTTGTGTACAACAGGTCAATACTCCACATGTCTGAAACCACACCCGCTTGGAGACAGAAAAGGGAAGTTTCATTTCTAACACTAATCCCAACTTTCACTGTGTTTGCAACAGAGAAACGCTCACTTCAGTCCTCTAACGAACAACCACGTTACTTTCGTTTTCCACCAGTTGTGACTTCTGTTTGTCTAGAGAAATAATTTAGTTCCACAGAGCTACTGTTGGTGTACCACACAGCTGGAAAGCAGGATATGTTTGTTGGTGCTACTCTAACAAGTAAACGAAGACTCGGTGGGGAAGGCAGCGAGCAGCTACATTGTGAGCCAATAAGCAGGTAAAGAGATACAAAGTAAAAGCTGTGGTGCGAATGTCAAACATACATTACGGCAGAGTGGCAACATTTGTAACATCTTTACAGTCGCCGTATGAACAAACCCGCCAGTCTGCATAGAATGTAGTATTATAGCAAAACGGGCAAGGCTAAAAGAGTGGCTGTCAGTCTTGTGGTATGGATAGGATTCACGCTGTCTGCCATGGAGATGATGATAGCCCCATTCCCCCACCAAAAAGCCTTACCTTTTTCAGTCTTCCAGTCCTTTTTCTTTTTGCTCATGCTGCCGGAATGATTAGATTTCGAATGGTTGCTTTTTGACTGTGAGAACCCCAGGCTCACAGTGAATAGTGCTCCGGGAAAACTGAAATATAAAGTGAAACAGCCTCTGGACGGTTGTCTCACCTGTGAAGCTGTCAAATTGCTATAGACCTCAGTCGGCTCAACCTACCATGAGTGCGCCTTATATTATGTGTACGAATTCAAGGCAATGGATTGGTGGTCAAAAACAAGGAAGTGCGTGTGCGATTGCTCCAGCATACGTGTCAATCAGATAAGGTCACCGCATCGGGGAAGCAGAGTTGGTTGTTTCTAGCGGTCCAGCCTCCTGGCGTGTGAGGTGAGGTGGGAGGCTGGAAACACCGGGCCACTAGGAAAAGAGCAGAGTTACCTTAGGTAAACTTTGAAAGGAGCAAGTTCTCAAAAAAAAAAAAACTGTTTTAATTGTTTTATTTATTCATTTTATAACAATATGTTGCAGTGCGTTTAACAAGAGTTAAATGTTGCATTGCAGAGAAATGTGTAAGATGCAATGATGCACAATGATATAATAGCCTATGTAACAGTAGTAGCTTATATTTGTTCTGTAGGCCAATATAATAATAGCTTACTTCATTGAATCTCAGAGATGTGATTATTCCTATCATTTAACATATGTGTTAAAATAGAATTAGAATGACAATCCAAGGACCTACAGTGGCCATGAATTTGCAATGGACTGCCATCACAAAGAAACCCTTACCAAAAAAAAGACACTGGCCTCTAGTAGAAACCTTTTAACTGATCACAACAACTTACAGTAACTTGCAATTGTTTACAGAATCAGAATCAGCTTTATTGACTAGGTGTGTTGGACACACAAGGAATTTGTCTCTGGTGCAGTGGCTCTTAATGTGTATATACAATGTTCTTTCATAAGGCAATGAGTAAACAAGATAAGGCTGAGAGAACCAAAAAAGAAAAAGAATGTACATTAGGAACATCAGGTGTCATTTTGTAAGAATCCTCACATTCATGTGTTAGCATGTCCACTGTCATCTCCACTGTTTTAAGTGTGTTCAGCTCCAGACTGTTGCAACCACACCGCAAGGCCAACTGTTCATCGTCTTGGATGAGACTGATGACCATAGCATCATCTGTGAACATTAGGAGTTTAACAGAGGGGGCCCCTGAGAGACTCTAAGATAGATTTAGTTGGACGCTGTGTCCCAATTTTTGTTAATTTATGCTTGCAACCAGCTGTGCTGTGGCCCTGGTTTATAATTGTTGGGTAATTGTTTGGATCTTTCCAAATTGAGGAGAGTTTTGATGACACTTTTGGCCAGGTGGGTACAGATGCATGGTAACCTGCCCTTGTTCATGATAGAGGACACTGTCTCCCAGGATTTACCAGATCAAACCAGTAAGTCAGGCTGTCATATGTGAGAGGCTGGTTCCAGAGACCACCGTCTGTCGTCTGTTGCGTTAGCTCTGCTCTGGTCCAGGCCCATCTGCTCCTAAAACCGCTGACATTATCTGAGAGTGGAAAATATCTTTCATCCAAGCTGTAATCTGATCCAGATCTACATTTTTAAATGTGAGGTTTATTCCAGTTTAGCCATTACAACTGAGTGAAAATGTTTGCAGAAATGCATTAATAACATCACCAGTGTGTGTGGAAGCTATGTTCCTGTTCCATTTGAGCTTAATATATTAAAACCTATTTTACAAAGTGCAAAAAGAATTTTGTTTAAGAACATGGTGGCAAATTTCACTCAGTGTTTTCCCTAGAAATCTCATATTAAACTGAAATTAAAGACCTTTAGCTCACTGATCTGCTGCTCTTTTCAGGAAATTAATAAAGAAGAGAAGAAAGTAATAAGCTCTCAATTCTGGCACAGAAATTTTTTATTTGCTTTTGTAATATCTTAATTAGTTTACAACTATGTTACATAGAGTTACTACTAGAACATTGAATCAATACTTGCTCAAATTAAAGACCCAATGGGACTTCTTCACTCATTTTGAATGCATGAAATGATCACTATTGTCATTATACACATATACCCAGAGCCTATAATGCACACTGGGGATAACAAACTCCAAAGTATTACTTTCTGTCTTACATCTAAACAAAGATGTGACCTGAGTGAAGTGGCCCTTGTGGTGTTCCCTTTGTACTACTCAACCCATACCACTAGATGTCGATCTTGCAGTATTATAAACAGCTGTATACATTTGTATTCATTCTGTTCAGAATCTAATATCTAACAACTAATATAACTAACCATAACTAATAGTCATAGTTGGCATCACATGAACAGCAGTATCTTAGAAGTGTCTTGTGATTCAAAACTAACCATATTAAGATTTAAATGTATTACTTAGGCATCTAGGAATCGCTGTTTTTAGGAAAACTTGTTCTAAATGTTCAAATGCTTTGTCTGATATTTCTATAACAGAAAGGCATATTGAGAAGAAGACTGGACCTCAACTAGATGAGTCAGGTTCAAAAATCTTTTGTCAGCAAGCCTCTACCCCGCTGTAGTGCAGTGGTGAAAGATACTAAATCAAAAAATGTGTGGCCCTAACCTCTGACCTTTTATTTAACACATCATGTAGTTTTAATATGCTTACAAAAACATGGCAAAACTGAAAATTTCTGTTTAAATTAATTTAATTAATGTGGTACCAATAATAGAGCCTACTATTGATATTGTTGTATGAATATAATCCATTGAATTACACTCAAATGTAGTCTTAGTTATGAACTCAAAGCCCATACATATTTTACTTACACAGGTGCTTTCACTTACGTGGCCTGATTAGACCTCTGTGTACAATGGGATTCAGTGACAGTTCCCTCACTTTCCTCTTACTATTCATTTAGTATTGTTGCACCTGTTAGGGTTGTTTGAAGCTCTACCAGATTTAACCTGACTAGCAGGTTAAATAAATAAATGCAGTAGCTCATTTAGTGTTTGCTAGATGCTGTATTTATTTGATCATTGTGGTTAAGTCATTGTTTAATGGGTGTGAAGCAGACAACATAATGTCCCATGAGCAGAAAAAAGTTCACACTTGGCTGGCTATTTCCAGTGAATAGTTGATTCTGCAGGCCATTCTGTATACTCCAAACAGAGGAGGATCTATTTGTGTAAAACTGCGTAGGCAATTGTTATTGTCATGGTTACAGCACAAAGAGATAATGCCCGTAGCAATACCTACAAGTCTAGCAAGATCATTGCATTGTCTAATCTGTTACTGGTTTGATACTTGTGTTTTTCATATCCCACTTATGATCATAGCAACGTAATTACAGCAACCAAGGCAATAACCTTCAGAGAAATACACAAAATTATCCCTAACTTAAAGTACACCCAGAGGCTAGAGGAATTGTAATTACTGGCAATTGTTGTTTATATGTGTTTTTATGTTAACATCCCTAAGTCCTTTGATGGGTTTTAGTGACTATTTGGTTTAGTAAATTTATGTGAATGGATTATATCTTAGTCATAACACATTTGTTTGTACATTCATTGGTGGTTTCACAGTCATAGCTCCAGTCTAAATATTTCTACTTTTTGGGGATCTCCAGCAAAAAACTGGCCACCTACAGTATGTGCAGCTGGGCTTTGACACTTTCAGTGCAGCTTTTCAGTTATTTACCTTTGGCTTAATATTTCACATCTTCCCAGTGACAATAAAAGAAGTACAAAGCACATCTCTTACTGAAAGATTCAGATGAGGTTTGACAGTGTGCATACACACAGTGGATGTTATAGCACATGAAGTAATTGCAAAGATGATTCCCAGGAAATAAAACAATTTCTCAGCCAAATAAACACAAATGCAAACATGTCTCCATTTTTCAAATAAATTTGTAAAGACATTTTGCACTGTAGGTCTAATGTACAGTTAGTAGAGTGGGAAACAGGTCTGCTCTGCTGCAGCACTGGAGAGAATCACTTAGTGCTGTCTTTGATTCAATTCCTACCCTGAACATGAAAACATTATATAGTGTTGTGGTTTGTATGGGTTCTTTTTAACCTTTTCAATCAAACATTTGTCTGCCCATATCTTCCATTGTGTCCTGTCATATATTACGCTCATCTGTTGCACAGATGTAAGCAGCGGCCTTCTGTTATGATCAAACAGAGCCAAAATTGCCCATGAAGTTACTACGTATAGACTATCTTATTTATGCATAGACTTAATCTAGTACACATCTGTCTGCAATTATTATGCTTCTGTTACAGTATTCAATATTTTGTAATTACTTCATGTCTCTTTTACAGAGATACAAAATAGGCTTCAGGCGTGATGTTCTACAGCAACTGTGCTCTGACTTATCTGGAAAAACACTGACCAAGGAAAGTTTGTGTTATTAATTTTTGAACAACAAAAAAGCTCCAATATAAAAATGATCAGGTAAACAGTATGTTTACTGTGGTTGGTAATTTATTTTAGAGATATATAATCATGATATTTTTTTATCATTTTTCACTATTATGTCTGTTTTGCCACAATAATATTTATATTTTCTTTAGATTTTGTTCATTGTCCTTGTGTTTTTATTGTATCAGCTACTGCCAGATATCTCAGAATTAGAAATTGTTTCTTATTTCTCACTTTGTCCATTGGTTCATATATGATTATGAGTATTTTTGTTGTGGATCACACTTGCCTATAATTCAACCATAAATGATGTGAATATCATGGTTAACTGAGTGGCACTTACTATAGTTTAGTCTACATGTTCAGAATGGTTTGGGGGTGGATTGAAAAAACATATCACTGTTAGTGTTCTTTTCCTGTGCTGGATTCCTGTGGGTTATAGCTTTGGCAAAATGTGATGCAATGTTCCCTTTGTTAGTTTTATTCTATTAAATAAAACCCCCATCCAGGGTGTCTCTTCACACCAGAGCGTGCCTGCTTTCTGGGCGTTCAAAGCAGCAGTAATTCCTGCCTGGTCGCTGGCTGAACTCAAGTTGAATTGATTTAGTGTGCTCAGACATTCAAAGCATATGCAGAAAAGTGATCCAAACTGTTATGTCTTCTATGCACCAGCCATTTTTCTTTGCAGGATAATTCTGCTTATACAATGTTGGCCTTTTCTTTTAATTCCAGCACAATAATTTCTTTATAAAATTAAAGGTGGAGTATAATGCAGTATTCTAAGTCAAACTACTATGTTCCCTCTGACTATCCAAATAGTCACAATAAAACATTACTCATCCAAAAGAGTATAGACCAGGTCTGTCAGGTGTCAGAGCAGAGTATTTGAGGAGAGATGAAATTTCAGAGGAGAAACACTATCACAGAAGCTACATAGCTCATTCTCAGTGCTACAGAAATCTTGGATTCTGATCTCCTATCCATGCAGTAACACCACAACACAACACAGCATAGCACACAAACATGTCCTTTTCATGATATCCTAAAAAAAAAAATCAGGTTATGCAGTACTCAAATAGAATGGGAAGGTATTTGAGTTTAGTGGTTGTGCAGTTTTGTAGATACAGTACAGCTCAATTTGGCACACAAATAGCCTGAGCAAATCTGAATTTGTCCCTAAATGAAGTAGTGGAGAAGGTCTCAAATGAACCATGACCACAGACTGTGTGGTTATAACAGATAACAACATGTATTTGTGATTTTCCTCTGCACACTATTAACAAGAAGAAAAGGTTTCTGCAGAGATCTGAAGGCACCAAATATTAAATCCACCCCTAGCTGGCCCCTCTTCAGCACTATGCACCCCCTTGCCATTAATTGCTCAGTGGCACTTGTCCATCTTGACTTGATCTAGTGCACATTATGCTACATATTATGATTAAAGAATGTGCTTGTTGTGGCCCTCCTATTCAACTTTTCCTTGAACAATAAACATAAAAGCACCTGCTACTTATCAGTAAAGCTATAAAGTCTAGTGTTAAATTTAAAAGATAAGATGTTAAGAGCTGAAAATATAGATTTCTATTAGTTTATTGCATTTTGTAGGAATATCAGAATCAGAATCAGCTTTATTGGCCAGGTGCGTTGGACACGAGGCATGTGACTCTGGTACAGCGGCTCTCAATGTGCATGCACATATCCCCATGCAAGGCAACAGCAAGGGCAAGTAAACAATATACCAACATAAGGCTGTGTAGTATAACAAAATAAACAGTGTAAATAAACCATAAACAATGCAAAATAAACAGTATGAACAGGCAATAAACAATGCAAACAGGCAAAGGAATGTTCATTAGGAACAAATTCCTTTTGTGTAACATACTTGGCCAATAAAGGTGATTATCCTTATTATTATTATTATCCTTAAAAATAGAGATCTGTACGGATCTGTATAATCTGTACAGTGTATATTTACCGGTATTGCACTGAGGGTTATTGTCCAGTCATACTGTCCTAGGTTAAGTGTTCATCAGAGTGACGGCTCGGGGGAAGAAACTGTCTTTGTGCCCTGTTTTCTTGGCGCCCACGGACCTGTTTACCGGTATTGCACTGAGGGTTATTGTCCAGTCATACTGTCCTAGGTTAAGTGTTCATCAGAGTGACGGCTTGGAAGTCCACTGAAGTCCACTGTCAGCTCCACTATTTTGAGCATGCTCAGCTCCAGGTTGTTGCAACATAGGACCAGCTGCTCAACCTCCCGTCTATAGGCCAAATATTTCTAAATGTGGTATAAGAAAGCAAGAAAGTCACTTTTGGCTTTTCCCGTTTAGGGGTCGCCACAGCGCATTGTCACACTGACGACTCTCATGTTGACATTTGGCACGTGTTTTATGCCGGATGCCCTTCCTGACGCAACCCTGATTTGAACCCATGGCGCTGTGCCTTAACCACTAGCCTACCAGGGACGGCCTTAAGTATAGACTAATAGTTCCTCAAATTTGGAATAGCAAAGCTTTCCTTTTATTACAGTTTCTGTTATAAATAATATTTCAACATGAAGGTAAAATAGACGATGAAAGTGAAAGATCCTCTCTTCATTCAGACAGTATTTCTCTGCCCTAGAAGAACATCATATGTATTGTTGTCATGAATACTGTGAAAACAAACTGTTTTCTTTATGCAAAAGCATAACAATATTGTACTTTTTGCATTCCATTTTACTTGTTTCTGACAGATTTAGAAGTGTTTCTTTGATTATAGAATACTTAATCAAATGTCATCCATTAGTTGTGGAATACATGATGATGTATTGACAAAGATTATTACTTTTGGAAAACATTAGTGTGTAATGCTTGTTAAAATTGCTTTTTTAGAGGAACCACCCAAAATTTCCAGTTAGGATTAATACATGGAGAGGGAGCATCGCTATGTAGCAGAAGTTGTAGAAGTACAGCGGTGTTGGATGATTGATAATCTTTAAAATATAACCCACAAAAGTATAACCCCAATGGCCCTTTAGAGTTATAATTTAAATTTAATTTAAAGTTGAGAATTAGCTGTAATCACTTTTTGGGCAATAAAAAACAGGATTTTACTGGTTATACTGGTTCCTTACTTAATCTGGTACAAAAGTACTGGATTGTTAACATTTAAAAAATATATATATATACAAAACCCCAAAGAGTGAATAAAGGTTATGTGAGACAGAAAAGCTCTTTCAGTAACAGGATGTTAGGTTTAATCACTGTCTAGCAAGTAGATTAAGCCTACTGTATCCTACTGGTCATACTGGAGCCTACTTAAAATGGTAGAAATGACTAAATGGTTTTTATATGTAGTCTAAAAGAGGACATGAAGTTAATTGGGGTGAGAGCAGAGGATGCGAGGATAGAGTTAGGTAGAAACAGATGATTTGCTGTGGCGACCCCTAACGGGAACAGCCAGAAGAAGAAGAAGATGTAGTTTACATCAGCAATGCGAGTCTATTTTCCAAATGTAACAGGTTGCTTAAAGTATCACAAGGAAACAATGTAGATGTGAAGAATCTTAAAATTACATCAGATGTCTAAATAGGCTATCTGACAAAATCATTTTATCATGTCACCTATTTCTTTCCTCTCTGCCTATATTTTGATCTATAGATTAAAGGGTTTGTTTTTGTTTTTCGTTTTTTTATGTTTTTATTCTGAGGGACAGGCCCAGTAGTGAAGTCTGAGCAGCAGGCTTATATGAGAGCTACTGTACTTTACATGAAATTTTTCATGCAAAATAACTGAGCAGCCTAATAATGGGGTTAAACTATAAGCCCCAACATGATGAACAGAGATTGCATTTTTAAACAACAACTACCAGAGACTCGATACAGCATTTGGGTTTGTTGACATTTTATTTAATCCGGATGTGTGTTTCTGCAACGCCTTCAGTGACTTCCTGTACAGACCGTGAAAGCTGTTGAAAACTGCTGGTCGGACCGCAGCTTCTTACTGCGCCCCTCGCTGTTACTTCTGCCTCCCTCTGCTCACCGGGTGAGGCGCAGTTCACGTCATGGTTGCACTGTTGCACTTCCTTAGCAACGTGTATCTGAACCAGGAAGTGGTTTTATATGCCCTGGCTAACTAGCTGTGGCTAGCGCAGAGGAGTGATGACAACAAAGTTCATCTTAGTTACATCTATGAATCCAGTTACCGCACATGTGCATTAAACACGTCAGGTAACGTTGTGGTTAATGGGCAGTTCTTTCGCAGATAGGGGAAGAGTAAAGTTAAAAACTGTAGGTTGAGATTGTTTTCTTGATATGTTAGCAAGCTGTTAGCCAAGATGCTAATGAATACAAGACTGTTAGCATGACTTGAAATAACGCGTCTTCACAGTAACTTACTATCTTTCTTTATTCAACAAACAGGCCTGTAACAGAAACCTTAAGACGATTGTGTAATAATGCAAACTTTAAACTGTCATGCGTATCGATACATTAAGAAAATGAATAGTTTGTAAAGTTGTAAACGTCAGCTTACAGTATATTAAAGAAATGGGTGACATCTCTGTGTTATGGTTTGTAGTCCTGTGGATCAGGACTATGAATAGCATGTGTTAACGTTAGCAGCAAGGTGGATGCTAGTTTCATGATGTACTTAACGTTAACAGCAAGGTGGATGCTAGTTTCATGATGTTTATACTGGAGTTAGTATCGAGTAACTACATGTAATGTTGTTGGTTCTCCGTCTGACTAAAGTTAATTCGTGATTTATACCATGTATTGTAAAGACTGAGAATGGGTAGATTAAGTACTTCAACCATAAGAATCATTGTCATTAAGATCAGCTGCTGCTGTAGTGTTGCTGTAGCGCCCGCTTAGAGCCAGCACAGTTCACAGTGATGCATAGCTGAGAACTTTATTGTCCCTAAATGACAGTTTCCTTTTCTATTACAGATGTGCAATGAAAATGACTTACAACTTACCACTGTCTGATAGGCCATGATAGGCTTGTCAAGTTGTGCAGGGGTTATGGAAGATCTAATGAATTTTGCTGAAGAGCAGCAACCCTCCTCTCCCCTGGCCAACTCGTGGTCCAAAAAACAAGAATCAAACAAGAATCAGAAGAAAAAAGGTGTTGGTGGATTTGTGCTAGTGCATGCAGGTAAGTGTGCACACCATCACTGATGAGTAGAATTAATCAAAATTGTAAACAGCACCTGATAGTAAGTAAACACAATTTACAGTTCAGTAATTTAGTACCTGTGGGAATTGATGCATCCATCATGCGCTGAAACATAACATCTCCCAATATAGTGACCTTCTTTGAGTAAGTCAACTGTAATAGCTTTATGAATGGTCAAAGCTTTTTTCTTAATATTTGCTTTCAGGAGCAGGATACCATTCTGAATCTAAGGCCAAGGAGTACAAGCATGTGTGCAAAAGAGCCTGCCAGCGAGTAAGTTTATGTTGTTGCATAGCTAAGATGCTCAAAACTAGGTAGTGAGAAAACAAAAGTACTTGCAAAGAGGCTGGAGCCCATTGATGGTTATGCAGCGCAGTCTTTATTCCATAATAAGCTGATGTTTCAGCACTAGCGTTTTTTATTTACCTGGAAGTGAAAGACAGTTTGTATCAAAAGGATATTTAAAATAAATCAAAATTTACAGCATTTAATATAATAGTAAGCTGCAAAATCTAGCGTCAGTTTCCTACTGAGAAACCATTGGTGCAGTGAAAAAGCTTAACATACTGAGGGACAAGTATTAGTATTATCCTCAATATAAACATCAAAACTCAATATGGATGCACACAAAGAATAAAAATATATAAGATAAATGGAGAGGCAGATAATCTTTTAGTGTATAGTTTGACAGTAGAAAATACAGAATGTCCTCATGAAGTGACTTGGTGCAAAGAAAATTGTACTATAAAATGTAATGTGGGACACTTACTGCATGCTTTAAACCTGTTTTTACTCTAGTTTTATGTCCCTTTCTGAGCCTTTGTTGAAGCTTAAATTGTAACTATCAATATCTTATATCAGAGTGTTACATAACTGACTTCTATCAAGATAGGTAATGAAAGTATCATACAGATGCTGGAATGAGCAGTTGCACATCATTTTGTCTCTGTCTGTCTTTTCCAGGCTATGGACCAGCTCAAAGCTGGGGCGCTTGCAGTGGAGGCTGTGGCTGCAGCACTGGTTGAACTTGAGGTGGGCTGATTATGATCCAGGTTTGATTATATAAAGTCTGCCTTTATAAATGAGTTTTTAACAACAGGCCATGTGCATAATGTCAGACAAAGCAGCTTTACTCTGCTCCAGCCTCTCATGTCCACACATTTTGCTGGATGATGTAAGAGATGATTTATAGTTTTATTCTAGTCTCTGCATGTTTTTCATTGTCCTCAGGATTCTCCTTTTACAAATGCGGGTATGGGCTCCAACCTTAATTTGTCAGGAGAAATTGAATGTGATGCAAGTATTATGGATGGGAAGTCGCTGCATTATGGCGCTGTAGGTGCTATTAGTGGTGAGTTGCCACACGTGTTGATATTTATTTATATATACTGATTGATACAGATTAAGTCTTTGTGGCACTGAAATTCCGTCACCTGGAAATAATTGCAATGAGTTGAGCTTTTATCTGTGGTATGTTTGACTGATTTACTTTCTACCATCTCAAAATTGCCATCATAAATCCTTACAATGGGGGACCACCCACTTTCTACCTGGCGGACAACCAAGAAGTGCTGCCAGTATATCATACTCACAGTTAGTTTTCCTCAAAGGCTTTCAACAAAACCCTTTTTTTACTGTAAATATTCGAAACAACAGCCCAGGATTGTTTTTATTACCATGTCTGCATGATGTAACAGGTAGCCATATCATTTGCACATGATGAATGAAACTTTGTTGGCTTAGATATAAAATGTGTACTTGCCAACCCGTGTTTTTCAAAAGGTCTAATAATTCAAGAAGTAACGTGTGTTTCAATAGGTTGAGAGAAGCAAGGGAGAACACTGTATAGTAAACTCAATGAATGCATCGCCTGTGAAAATAAATGAAACAGTGTTAACAATGTACAGAAAATCAACACAGATGTTACAACAATCAAAAATATATTCAGTTTGTCTGTACTGTGAAACTTGACGTGCAGAGAAAGACTCATATTTGGTCTTTTGATGACTGCTCTATCAAATATCTCCTTATTTAAACTCATTATTTTGCTTATATTGAGTTGACAGAAAGTTCTAAAATCTAACTATAAATTGAGTATCTTGATTTGTTGAAATTGTTATACAGGAATGAACTGCTGGCCCTGTGATAATTCTGACTTTTCCTTTAGGTATTAAGAATCCAATCTTAGTTGCAAATCGCCTACTGAGTGAAGCACAGAAAGGGAAACTGTCAGCTGGCAGAATACCACCCTGGTGATTATCTTGGTTATTAATTAATGTTGTATTTCTGTAACTATAGCCACTTGTTAATTTTCTTCTTTCGTCAGTTTTTTAGTGGGGCGAGGAGCTCATGACTGGGCTGTCAGCCATGGAATACCACCGTGCCCTTCAGACAAAATGGCCACCAGTGAGTATTGTTGCACTGATTCACTGATATTTTTCATAGAAGAAATCCATTTTCCATAGCTGAAAAACTGAACTGAAACTTTGATCAAATATGTGGATGCAGAGGAATGAGAATGTTTACTCACACAGAGTTCAGTTTATCTGCGTACACGAGGAACAAGCGAAAAATGGAGCTGGCAGAAAAAATGGACACAGGACATAATCAGACAAAGAAAAGACGACAATCAAGTGAAAATGTGAGTACTATGTTATCAGTAACAGCATCTATTGTAATTGTATTAAGTATACTCTTTCTGATCTGCATCACAAAGTCAGAACAGCCCCACCTCTTCCTACTGATTTTGTTGTAGCTTCCCTTGCAACGAACATCCTGTTTTTTATTTGTCTCGTACTATAGGTGCTACAAGGGGTGGAGATCTAGGCCTGTACTTATTAAGCGTATCACAATGACTTCTAGGAAGCACACTGAAAATTGCCTCAGGGCTTAAAAACACTCCTACCTCAGAGTAGCTACTTATGAAGTGTCTGACTTTCACTTTCAGTGAGGAGAAAGCCTGCTCCTTAGAACTAATATGACCTCACTGCTTTACACTCAGGACTGCAAAATTGATATTATAGGGACATGTTGTGTTTTTTCTGACAGTTGAGGTTTATAGTTTTAGACAGTGAAAAACTGAAACGCCAATATCAGCATCACAGAAAATAATACAATTATTATAAGCTGTGTTATAGCAGTTCTCTTTAAAAGTTTTAGTGTGCTTTCACTTTTACCTCAGCCATGTGTGGATCCATTTGGCCACCATATCAAACATCACATAATTTGCATTCATAATCACTTGAGCATTAACGCACATACATGTTCTTGTTGGTGTTCAGGGCAATGATTTTAATGTTTGTGCCGCCCATGACTTCAACTAATCCAGTAAAACCAGAAATTTCATTGCAGCAGTTTTTGTTGATTGGATTATGGAAATGAACAAATCTGTGCATTATCAGTGGTGCTGTCAAAGTGATCAAACATTGATTTGTTATGGCTGAAATGGTTGGAGTTCCACAGACTGGTGGAATCAGAGCCAAGGTGGTGCCACGTGGTGGCCCAACAACTTAATGAGACACTTAATGTAGATTTTTCCTTTCATTTGTCACTTGTCTGTATACATTATAAAAGCCTTGTATCCCCTCTCCTTATGCTGATGTAGGAAAATGGTTCAGGGTGCCTTGACACAGTAGGAGCTGTTGTGGTAGACCTGGATGGGAATGTAGCTGCAGCAGTGTCCAGTGGAGGCCTGGCCATGAAACATCCTGGCAGGATAGGCCAGGTAGTCAGACCCTCTTCATCTTCTTTGTGGTGTCTGTAGCTTTTTAAATGTAACCACTTCATTACTGGTAAATAATGCTTTTTGATCTAACTCAAATAAAGGCTGAACCTGTCCTTTATTTGAGACAGCTATTGTTAGAGACATCATTATTTCATTGTGTTTTTAACTGAAATATTTTAGCAACACTGTGTGATATACAGTATATTTCTGATGCATCGGTTACACATGTAGCTCATAAAGTACTGCTTTTAGAAATCAACCTTTGCATGTGTCAGATTATAATGCCACCAGGAATAATAGCATCTGAAAAACAAAAAGGTTTTTCCCTGCATGAATGATCTGACTCTGAAGGTGGGCCACCTGATGACACTCTAAACCTAGTTGCTAAAAACCTGTGCACAATGCACATTGGGGGGGCCGAACTGAATGAATGAATCAGTAGGATTTACTACTTTAACCTCATTAACACGTCTTAGGCAAAAACCGTTCTCACGATTAGTTGAGAAATTACGTTATTTACAGTACTTGCTAAAAAGAAACGGTAAGACAAAAAAATAACAGCATAGCATTTTTATATCTAAAATGTCTTTGTTTCCTTGCTTTTCTCAGGCTGCTCATTATGGATGTGGCTGCTGGGCTGAAAACGCCTGTAATATGAACCCGTACTCTACAGCAGTGAGTACCTCAGGTATACCACAGCACACTCTCACACTACTTTGCGGCTGTGTACATCTGTGTGTAGTGTGCATGTGTGAGTAACTTTTTCTGCCACTGTTAATGTTTTCCAGGAGCCTCACATTTAGCTTTGGAGATGATATGAATCACAAATGTTATATGTAGGCCTATTTTTTTGCCCCAGTGAGTCAAGCTCCAAAAAGCTTGATATGAGCCTACTTTTCCAACCATTGCTGCCGAGTGATTCTCATCAGCTCCTTCCCCAACTGATTGAGTCATCGTTCTCTGCTATTTTGTTAGTCAGCTGCATGCCAGGTGCATTGCTAAGCTCTTTGAATTAGCAGTGACATTTGACATGGAGCACCTGCTGTTATGATTGAACCACTGGGAGCACAGTGGTATGGTGGTAAACTGGCAAACTCCAAGTGCAGTTATCTAGATTCAGATTGGAATTTTGCTGGTATAAGTACAGTAAGTGGTATTAAATCAGAAGTGGCTTTCACAAAATTTCTTGTTGTTGTGTCTGTTAAAATAGATAATCAGTGGCATAATTCATCCCTGCAACACCAAATATAATCTCATACATTTTAGCCTTTATCAGACCTTCTGAAAATGACCTAAATTACCAACTACTGTAGTCAAACTAATTCTAAGGATATTTTTAAACCATGTCTTTGGAGTTTTTGACACCAGAAAAAATAAACTTTTGGCCAAAAAATTTTGCACAAAATTATGCGAACATTGGGTGTAGCTGATCTAGTAATACATGAAAACAGAAATTGAATTATACTTAAATACTGCGACATGCAGCCTCAGGTTTTACAGAGATGCAAAATATCTAGTTTACACTGATTTACAGTGACTTGGACAGACCGACCTTTAAAAATCTTTGGCCTTACTGAATGTACACTACGTGACTGTAGGTCTGGAGCAGACTATCTGCATTCTTTACCTACTTTTATTGCAGTCAGGTGTAGCTCATCTTCCCCTCGGTCTCAGGTGGTTAGAAGTGATGGCTAGAAGCATAGAAGGGCAATAATACACCCACACTTGATGTGTTTTACTGACTAAACTCTAGTGTTCTTTGCACCAGAGTATCTGGTGAAAGTGAACTTTTCATGCCACTGTTGGCAAGAACCTTGTGAATTACAGTATGTGATCAAAAAAGCTTTCGCCTTACAAATGTGAATGTAGAGAAATGACTATAGCCATGTTTCTGCTTCCACCCATCTTCTGCTGAAGCACTGGCACGTTACGGTTTAAACTACTTCAGAGAATCAGTTGGACAAACCAAACCAATCTGCCATATCAAAAGCAAGTTGACCATATGCATACAAATATACAACCATGCTGTGTCGTGGATGTGAAGGAGCAAGGCTACAGCATATTAGTCCTGTTCTTTAAGATAGGCAGACGTCCGCAAAATGGCTTCTGGGTAGCAATGAAACCCTTTGATGTGGAACTGTAATCTAGAGCATCTTAGTGTAGGTGAGCTGATTTGATCAGGCAAGTTAAAGCTGCAATCCTAAGTACTTGGGCCACTAATGTAGGCAGCATTTTGCACTGCTAAAGCTTCCCTGATTGTATGATCCTCAGCAATCAGTGACAAATTTAAGCTAGTGTAACAACAAACAGTTACACCAGACTTATTATTTAATATAAACAACTCTTGGGACTTTGTTCTCTAGTCCTAACTGAAGTTCTGAGAGGCCCAATATAGGTTTTGCCATCTTGAAAGCCCAGAAAAATGTGGGCCACAGTCTAGCAGTTCCTCAATCCTCTGGCACATTTAGTTGAAACACAAAATGGCAGAAACTCTGTTTTTGACTTAGACTCAGGAGTAAATAGATTTGTAATTAGTCTTTGTAAATATATTATGTGCATTCATAACTATGATCACACAAGATAAGTAGTCTCATCCATTTTGACTGATCTATCATGTATTTGATTGACCACCATATTAGTAATAGTCTGCTGTTCTTCATTTATCTCAGTAGGTGAAGTGTGAGCATTAGCTTTGTATGCGTGTCCACCTCATTGTCTTCCTATATTGTGGCTTTGCCTTTGATGTTGCTACAAAACACATTTCCTTATGGGTATGGAAGCATCATGTGTGTTCCAGTACAACACCTGTTTTTAATTTCCTTACATGAAAGGCATTTCCATCAAAAGAAATAGGGAAACAGTCTTTTTCATTCTGACACCAGGAGTATGATCCTCACGATATATGTCGCCCTTTTTTTCTCTTTACCTGGCCGCCACTTTGCCCATCCGCCCCTTGTCCCACCCCCTTCATGCTAGTCTCTTTTGTAATATGTGGCTCATGTTTGTTGAATACGTGTTGACTGCTTCATCCAGCCTCTACTGTTCTGTGGACAGTGAGAGAACAGCTCATGAGCGTCACTGTTTACTCTTGTTGCTGTTGGCTGCCACATGCTGTTTGTCAGCCTCTTTCTTTTTACATTTCTCTTCTGTTGAGCTGTTGCTTGCTAGTCTGGGCTTCTCGCTGCACTTCCAGTTGAGCTGTGTTTTTGCTGTCATAACATCCATCTCCCCTGGGACAGAGCAGTTCACAGTAAACACAGTACCTGGCCAATCTGATGGTATACTCTTCTTAAAAATAACCTTGAATTGCTCCAGGCTTGTGGTTTCCACAACTACCGACCTGCATTCAGTTTTGTTGTAGTTACCTCATATTTTATGGGGCCTCTATTTGTGTAAATAGAAACAACAACACTATGTCCTTCAGTCTTTATGGGTTTTCACAAGAGCTTTTTCCAGATGTTTTTGTTTTTAGATTCCGTGTCCTTTGTCCTGTTTTTCGAGCAGAGTTTACATTTGAGAAATTTCATGTTGTAAGCATGGAGCATGCGTTGAATATCAGTAATTTTCTTAGCAACAACAAGGTGTTAATATTTGTCATTTAAGCACTAAGCATCATATTATCTATGATATAAAAAGCACACCTTATATTTCTTGACTTGGAAATGATAGAGGACAAGGTAATCACACTTTTCTGGCACTTCTCTGACTTTATTTGAATTAATACAGAGGATTGGTTTTTAGTATGAGTAAAAAAAAATGTTCGCACACATTTTAACACATAACTTGTGTTTTGTTTTGTTTCTGTATAGTATGAGAAATGTTTCACTAGTAGTCACTTGTGTCCTACCATGGTTTATGTATTAGATTCCTACTGTTAGTCAGATCTAATAAAAATAGTTTCTTTTTGTTTACCCTCTGCATTTAACTAAATATTTGTGGTGTTTGGCAATTTAAGCATTATTTGGGAAAATCATGTTTCTAACACTTATATTTAAATAAAAAATATGAAAAAACATGTAATAGTGACACATGTTGCAGGTATGCATGCACTCACTGCAGTTAGTCTGCGAGCCAGCTAGAGCAGAGTTTACAGAAGTGGAATTAATACTGGCTGGTTGCTGTTTCAAATTGTGGAGGCCAGCTGGGAATCTGGGCAGGGAAGATGAATACAAACCTTCCTTTAGCAATTATTGTCAGTGTACCCTTGAGCAAGGCAGCTGTCGCCACCAGAGACAGTCAAGTTTACCTGAATAAAGCTTAATTACACTGAAAAGAATGTGTCAAAATGAGTTCAGTAGGGCAAAATGTTTGGTACTAGCTGGAGAGTTAAAGAGTTAAGAATTCTGTAATATTTTCCATTATGTAACTTAACAACCAGATATATTGGAAAAAGGTTATATTTCTAACAGGTTTTGAATATCAAAGCATAGTATTTCAAATGGTAATCAGGAAGTGCCCGTACATACCAGTCTCTTCGAAATTCACTTAAACATCAAGATGAAAACCATCAAGATGTGATTGATACCATACACAGTAAGAGGTTTGGACTCCATGTGCTACATCCTCTCAATATTAACTCACTGGAGGTTTTTTGCAATTCTAACAGAGGTAAAACGAGGTAATTTTACACTTTCAGCTGTGTCTTTTGCCAGGCTGTGGAGAGCATCTGATTCGTACCATGCTGGCACGGGAATGCTCTGCTGCCATGCAGTCTGAAGATGCCCACCAAGCACTGCTGGAGGCTATGCAAAACAAGTTCATCAGTAAGCCACTGACATTCTCCTCCTCTTATCAGCTATGAATGTGTTTACAAGAAATACAGTTATGCATGGAGAGAATAAAACTAACAAGCAGATGTTGTGTAACTTAAGGAGCGAGCTAACAACTGGAAACACTGGAAATAACAGAATCAGAAGAGCCGGCTTTTGATTTATGGATTGTTTTCACCATTTAACAGGGCCTTCAGATGTTTCACACAACATAGCTGACAGCCGCAGATAATTTTAGAAAATATAATTATTCCGTTGAAAGTTCAAATGAAAGTATCATTTTTTTCCCCAGTATTCTCAGAAGTGGTCAATTTCAGACAGTCTTGTTAACTGTGTTTGCTGCGCTTGTAAATGACCACTGGGATAGCTCGGAGAAGACAGCAGAGGAAGAAAGGATGTGGAAACATGGCGGTTTCTGCATTCTTCTGGCCTCCTTTAGAAGCTTGTCCCAGGCTTTGTCATGGACATCTGTAATGCTAAGACGCTTGATCAGGCTGGATAAAGCCAATTTGAGGTTAATTCTTTTGTTGTTTCTTTTTGAGGTGCACACGAAGTTAAACAAAGCCCTAGAAATCTTGCCTTAGCAGGGGCAGTGTTGACAGTGTTTGTGATGTGGAGGTTTCTCACGCCACATCCATGACATGTTTAAGTCAGCGTCTCTAATCCAATATCTTAAATAACAACACCATCAGTAAAAATGAAATGCAACTAAGCCACTTGAGACAAATGTGTGATTTGTCACATTGAACTATGTAAACAATATCTGACTTGACTTGACCAAGAAACAATGCCATGCAGACACAACAATTTTTTCATCAAATGCACAATTGGTTCTGTTTTTCTTTTGCTTGTTTCTGTGTCAGGACATTTGAATGCATGCCATAGCTGTTTTTAGTTTTCTTTTCCCAAACAAGACCTCTTTTATTGTTTTTTGTATTAATACTAAGTCTTCTGAAGTTTAGTCATGGAGCAAGAAAGAAAAACAACTTGAATGGAAGGGTTTTTCCTTCAGTGTAACTGAAGTCGAATTCAAGAGCAGAGAAGTAAAAGTATACAAGAAATTTTACTGAGGACCATCTTGTCATTTCTGGTCATGACAAATGTGTTGTTTTCTTTGTGTGTTCAGGCTCACCCTTTCTGGCCACTGAAGATCGTGTTTTGGGTGGAATAATTGTCTTGAGGTGCTGCAGATGTTTGGAAGCTCAGCCATCTAAAAATATTCAGGGTATACTGGGTAAGACAATCTTTTCAATACTGACCACACTCAAGCTGAAGGTAGGCAAAGCTCCGGCTGCTAATATTTAAAACTGCATTATCAGATAGTCACGAGGAGGGAGAAGAGGCGCTGTGGCTTTCCTAGCAGGTGGCCCTTGTTTTCACTTGCACAGTCAGACTCTGGCTTTACACCCTTCATATAAAATTCTAGCAGAGACCTCTCACTACGGACATCACCACTAATCTTCAGACAAGTGGAGGCCTTCTGATTCTGCACACTGGTCACATTGGTGGAGGTGGTTTCTCTACCTAGAGCTTCTGAAAATGCTCCTTCCTTTCACAAAGCTGTGATCATGGAATTTGAGTTCTGCCCAAGGCTTAGGCCATATGACTTACTGCCCTTTGCTGTTTGTATTAATTTTAATGATGTATATAAGGCCCTCAGTTCCATAAAACCACAGGATGAATTCAAGTTCACTGACAAAGAAGAGCAGATGCTTTTCCAGTGTAGGAGGGGATGACATCTTTATTAGGCGTAATGGTAAATACAAAGTGTTATTTGTTGGCTTGAAAAATAACATGTTCCAAATTATGACTTAGTGATGTACAAGCCCATTTAGACATCATTTATGGACGCTAGCCCTTGTGTAGAGTGTGGACTACCTCAGATTACTGTGAACTGGAGGAGGCTCTTTGTAGATTTATGAGAAAAAACAGTACAGTATATTAGTCACACCCTTTTGGTGCTGTAATTGAGTTTCTAATCTTACTCACAGTTTCTACCTCCCTCTGTAGTTATATCACACTGTAATTTCTATATTTACTAGTGCTGTCAATTGATTAAAATATTTAATTGCAATTAATCACATGATTGTCCATAGTTAACTTGAAATTAATCACACTATCTGTTCTAAACAGTGGTGCAAAGTAACTAAGTAAATTTACTCAAGTACTGTACTTAAGTACAGTTTTGAGGTACAGTATCTGTGCTTGAGTATTTTCATGTTACTCAGCCTTCAAGCTGTAGCCACCCATTTAGCTATCGATGTTGGAAGGTTTGTTGCTTGTAGAGTTGTCCAGGTGTCTCTGTTGCAAACTTTTCGGCATGGTCTGTCTTTGGCGAGGGGGAGGAGGGCTCTCAGTGTCAGCTCTGTGCTTGGCCAGCATACTCAGAGTTTACTGGAGTTCAGCACACTGAGCCAGCTGTCAAAATTTTTCTTCTGGCAGATGGAAAAAATTTTTTGTTTCTGTTCCTGTTGTGAAGTTAAACTTGGTCCTCATTCTTTTTATATTACATTTATATACATGTATATTTACATTAATTAATTGTCTTTTATTCAGCCTGTAATTAACCTCATTATCTGTGAATTTTCACAGTGGAGTTCCTATGGAGTCACACCACAGAGAGCATGTGTGTTGGCTACATGTCTGCCCAGGATAGTAAAGCAAAGGTGAGCTTCCAAAAACATCTTGCTCTAAGTTTCAAACACACTTTGACTGTAGAGGAATATAATAACCACACTTACATCCTTAACAAAACTTCAAACGTGTAGGCTCATATTACAGAGTTAATAAAACGTGCATTATAATGCTCATGCATCCCCCACCAGTGCCACTGGCTGGAAATTGAATCTGTTCTTTTCATAATGTACGAGTACTAGAGTGTCTTTGTTTTTGACTCACAGTTAGAGCCTTAGGTTTGACTTGTATGAAGATTGTTTTACATTGTACTATAGTTTCCAGGATGGAAAATGTTGAGACATTGGTTCATTATAAACACTGTTAAAAACTTGGTTTAAATAGCATGGCAAATAGCAACCCAGGTCCCTGTGGTTGTGGGCAAGAATCTGCACCACCTGTTGTTGTTAGATACGCAGTCTGTTGGTGATCTTGTCTTTTGGATTAGGGCACTATAATCTTTACAGAAGTCTGAAGTAGACCCTACAGTTTCCTTTTTGTGACGAATAAATGACAACGTTATCAATTCATGAAGCGGGCTATGTGATCCTCCTCCAGGACTAGAACATGCTAAAAATCATTAACAAAATCCTAAGTGTATGAATTGTGTGATTTGATATAGGCAGTGTGGATTCTTAAACAAACGGGACTTAATGCTGTGGTTTCCTGGCTCTGAGTGGAGTCAGCTCAGACTGATTTGTTTGGCTAATGTACAGTATTTCTGTCACTGTATGAAGAGAGGGCAGTGTTGTTCAAGCCAGGTTCCAATTTCAAAGTGTTTGCCTTCCATACTGCCTCCCTGGCCCCTTTACCTGTCCTTCCCTCCATCTCTTAGTTTATCTCTCTTGTTACTAGCCCAGTCTGCCCCTGCCTGGTCCTAAAGTACCATAAACTTCACTGAAAGTCCTGCACCACTGGGGATATCAATGTTAATCTGCATATTTGTCAGATGTGCTCTGTGTTTTGGGCTCTGTGGGGAAATATGAGCACCTCAGCTCGCCTGTTGTGCCTTTGTCAATGTAAAGAGGTGAGCAAAATAGAGAGAATGGTGTAGTGTTCTGAGACACTTTCATCACACATAGCTTTTGTTTGTAAGTTTTTGTATTGTTTAGATTGTTACATAATATATATATACAGATGACGGTTAAGCAGGTGTTAGCAAGTGAGTTATTACTGCTGGTTTTTAGGGGCTTCAGAAAGTGTTAGGGTGCTTCACTTTTGCACATTTTATTGTGCAAAATGTTGTTTTTTCATTTGAAATATTATTTCAAATGGATACAATTGTCATTTATGCCCACCAGTCTACATTCAGAAATCCATAATGATTAAGATTTTAGAAATTTTTGCCATCTATTCATTATCA